TAATTTCGAAATACGTAGGCCATCTTCGAAATTCGTAATGTTTTTTATGTATTTGTCAGAAATTTTGTACGTGTCGAAGCGAAAGAATTTGTTTTAAAATATCAATAAAATACAGTGTGTAAACGTAAACGTGTGAATTGAAAAAAAAAATTAAATTATTATTATTATTTTTACAAAATCAACAGATAGAAGATCACAACAAGTCGCTCGCAATACAAAAAACTGGTGGAATGCATGAGCGAAGCGCCGGACATTGGTCGAGGGTTTGTAAAAGGAGCTAAAGAGGATGTGGTGGAATTTTGGGAAAGCGTTCCAAGTATTAAAGGGCACAATATCTAGTGAAATGCAGAACAATCTCCTTTGTATATTAATGCAACTGTAAGCTGTTCTTCCTCCTAGGACAAAAGTCCACCGGCCACTGAATCCTTTGTATTCTACTTAATTAAGGAAAAGTCTTTTCAAATAATGATTAAACTATTTTTATTTCACTATTCAATTGCGATTATATTTATTTTGATATGTTTCTGTCAAAGCAGCTGAGTAAGAACTTCGAATTTCATTATTTTAGTTGGCAACGCCGTTGATAGTTGCCATCGGATTATAGCATACCAATTTTCGGAGCGGAGCTACGAATTCGTAACTACGAACTTTCAGATTATAGCATACGGGTGTAAGTTTTTTTTTGTAAAATTGCATGGATTTTGGATAAATAAATGAAGGTGTACTATATTTAGTACATTAAGAAAATATGCATTGTATTTTTTCGTTCTTCACGAAGTTCTTGCTATATTAGAGGAAGATGATGCAAATGCAATGTTGGCACAACCTCTGAGAACAAAATCATAGAGCTGTTTATAGTTCTAATATATTTTAAATAGATTTGGATCATAAAGTTTCTTAAATATATTGTATGTCAAAATAAATTCGAAGGACGGCACTTAAACTCTCTTAAACGTATTTTGCTCCTGGCCAGGTTTCTAAGCTCGCATCCTCTGACGAATCGCTCAACCAGAACTCCGTTGTACTGGCCTCTATTATGAGTTGCATTCGATCTTCGACTGTGGTCGAAAGTGCTGATCGAACGAATTTTCATTTGGTATTCTGGCGCTCATTCGATGAAGAATAGCGCTATTGTGAATTTCGCTCTTTTAGGTTGTTCACAATAGTATATTTTTCACTGCTGATAAGCTTTGTTTATACATCGAGCAAACTAAATAGTGTGGTTATACATATGTAAATTTGTGCAAATAAAAATGAAATTTAAAAAAAGCGAGTTTATAAAGACGCGGTAAAAGAAATTTTAATTAGTACAACGGAGTTCTGGTTAAACGATTCGTCAGAGGATGAGAGCTTAGAAAACTGGCCAGGAGCAGATAACGTTTAAGAGAGTTTAAGTGCAGTCTTTCGAGTATATTTTGACACAATAAATTAAAACTATAAACAGCTCTATGATTTTGTTCTCAGAGATCGTCCCAACATCGTATTGGGATTTTCTTTCATAAGT